GAAACAAACAGATCATGCAACCGATTACTTTCATGAAGCAGTAAAAATAGTTACTGATTACCGTTTTACAGAGTAACTAGTAAACAGGAACATTCCCAGTACTGGTTTCCTGTCTATCCAATGGAACATATTTCATGCTGTTCTTTTTATATTATCGTTATCATTATTATTATCATAAGATGCTCACATATTGTCGGTAAAGAAACAGTGGGCCTTCTGCTGGATGAGGTTCATGTTGTTTCTGTCCCATGATCTGGAGGGTCGCAGCATGTGTTTCCTTCCCAGCACCAGGACAGTCAGGCCCTGACGGTCGACGAGCTCTGACACCACCAGCAGCAGCTGAAACACACAAATATATGCCTTTCTTTATATTCACTTTCAAAACGAGAACATTAATTAATAAAAATAATTACTAAAATGATGGCTTGGATTTGGTCTACAATGCAAGCAGCTGATCCCACATGAGGGCAATGAGCTTTTGGGGGGGGGGTTATATGTTTCACATTCGGAAAAGCTGGAAGTTAGAAAGACGTGTAGGTCCAGGTAGGGTCATTAAAGACATACAATATAAAAATTACATACATTTGGATGTACATACTCATACATTTTTACATATGTGTAATTTATGTATTTATTTTCCTATGAGTGGGCCTACATAGGCTCATTGCCTCAATAAAAATGAAGTAAAATGTCGGTGTACTGCAGTAATGTTTACTTCTTTAAGCTCTACAAACAGACATCTAAAGAACTGGCAGCCACAGGACAAGATGCTTTGTTACTGGAAGCTTTATAGTTTCTATTTCTAGTCTGAGTAGCACTGAATAGTCATGGCTGAGCAAGCTTTAGATAACCAGACTAAAAAACAGGAACGCACTGGCTGAAATGCCAATTTAGGGTTTTATTTGCTTTTTTAAATGTTTCGACACTCAGAGTCGTCTACTCCCAAGTTAATTATAGTTAACACAATTAACTTCAATTGAATAGTTTTCTGCCTACAAATGGAAAACTATGAAGCCACATTCTCTGATTTCACCAGAACATTTTTAAACTTTTATCTGCAACTCGCCTTGCACGTGCTCGTCTTACAACAGCAATAAAATGAGAACATGAAAAATGAAAACTGCATGACTCCTGGCCTTTTATTTGCATCTATATTGGCTGACACTGTATACAAAAAACTACTACAAAGAAATTAACACATAATTAACACAAACATTAATGCTGGCAATGCTGTCGGGTACTTGAGCAGGTTACGCTGCGGGCTCTACAAAGATCAATCTCACAAGTCTAAATAAGCTGTTTCTTTGTAAATATTTGTTGATATTTGCAGTCGGGAAAGAGCAGCCAAAGCTGCAGGCTGCTCACAAATATTTAACGATGTTTCCAACATTTCCAGTGTTTCTTATCTCAGCTTCACTGTCAGCAATGTCTCTCAAAACTATGTGTGAAAAATGTTGTTTATAAAACAGTTTCTGATGTTCAAGCTGCAAATACACAATGCACTGTTTATCTATTTGCAGCCATTCAGCTTGTTTCATCTCAGTGAGCTGATGGCATGTAAGCAGTCATCCAGAACTCTGAATAGTGAATTCAGCAGGTAATTCATATTGAAGCAGTACGGCTGTCCTCCAGTTTCCTTTGAATAATATGCTTGATGTAAATTTCGATCTCTTTTGCATTTATTTTCATAAATTATTTAACTTTCCCACAAACTAGATGACTAGATAGGGAAATAGGCTCATCAGTCTGTACTTTCCTTTGTCTTGCAGCCACATATGTGAGAAAATTGGGGCAGAATAAGCCATCACACACTCACATCCTGACAGACACATGTAGGCAGGCTGACAAGTACTCTCATTACTGTTAAAATCAGGTACTGGGCAGTTTTACGTGCATCTCCCACATGCATGCTCTAAAAAAAACAAAAAAACTACACACACACTGCAGGTTTACTCATTCTGTGACTGGCAGAAAAGCCCCTGAGTTGGACAGATATGCATGTAGGAAGAAACCACTAAAATCAAGACTGTAACTATGTGTGAGTGAGTGCGGATTTACACACAGGGTCTGCCCTGTGGGTAAATCTGCATCTCACACTTTTAATGCATGTACACCTGTGCATATTCTTACTGTCTCTGACTGCTTGCTTTTGTCCTTGTTGCTATTTGCAACATTAAGCCCATCTACAACCACATCAAAGGCTGGCTTCCTCTTCACAAACAACTTGAACCGCTGCAGCTCCTGAACAGACACACAAACAGAGAGGAAGAAGAATTATTATATGTAAAGAGAGCGATATGTAGGGAAATAACAGTCAGTGAGGAGTTTTTATAAAGAAAGTGATCCATGAAGGTACAACAGGTACGACACAAAAGGCATCTAACTTAATTGTTCACAAAAACTTACACAAAAACAGC